TCTCTGTGATTCTCCGGGAGCGCTGACACCCTATCTGTCTAGGTTTCAGCAGAAACGAGGACTCCACTGGCCAGGGTCAGCAAGAAAGAGCATGCAGAACTCTTTACACTTGGCAGGCAATATTAAAGCAAGCAGCATAGGGTATCACTGCACCCCGAAGCTGACACCAGGCCAGGAAGAGCGAGGGCTGGGGATAGCCTTGGGCAGTGGTAGGCAAACTGTGGCTCGAGAGCCCCATGCGATTCTTTGGCCCCTGGAGTGTGGCTCTTCCACAAAATACCATGGCCTGGGCGAGTCTAGTTTGAAGAAGTGGCGTTAGAAGAAGTTTCAGTTAAAAAAAAATTTGGCTCTCAAAAAAAGAAATTTCAATCGTTGTACTGTTGATATTTGGCGCTGTTGACTAATGAGTTTGCAGAGCACTGGCTCAGGGGAATGGGAGCTGCAGAGGAGTTGGGTGCAGTTGCTGTGTTGTCAAGCTCCAGAGCAGGAAGGAGCTGAGAAAGACACCCTGACTTCTCTCTGACTTCCTGCTGAAGCCTCCCAAGAGGTCAATCTCAACCACAAACCACCCTGCAAGGCAGCCTGGGCAGGGTAGGCTGTGGGGTCACACCTGGAGTTCAGAGCAGACAGAAGATGGTTGGAAATAGCAAGGATCGGTGTAGGACAGCATGTTGTCCTTAGTTACTCTTTTTTTTAAATATATTTTATTGATTTTTTACAGAGAGGAAGAGAGAGGAACAGAGAGTTAGAAACATCGATGAGAGAGAATCATTGATCAGCTGCCCCTTGCACACCCCCTACCAGGGATGTGCCCGCAACCAAGATACATGCTACATGCCCTTGACCGGAATCGAACCTGGGACCTTCCAGTCCGCAGGCCGATGCTCTATCCACTGAGCCAAACCGGTTTCGGCTTTACTTAGTCTTGTTATGAGGACAAAAATGTGTGTGAAACACTTAATATGTAGCCAAATGCATCATAGATTTCAACAAATAGGAGCTATTTTCTCATTAGTTCTATCCACCTGTAGGGTCATTATCGCCTTGTTTGCACACACAGGGCCCCAGCAGTCTTTCCATGCCTGGTGTGTGCTGTGCCCTGGTGTGGAGATGCAACATTAATATAACCGAGGCTGCCTGGGGAGATAAGACATGGACTCTGGTGCCCATGGGGGAGGGGGTGACACAGGCGCGCAAGCCCTCCCAGCGTCATGCTCCGCCGGGCCAGGGCCACGGCTCTGACTCTCACGCTTTCTTTCTTAATATTTTTTAACGCTTTTCTTTTTCCAATGAGAGTCTGAAAGAATGCAAGCTTATTGCAGAGATGTGGAACTCATGAAAAAGCAGAGATGAGAAATTACCCTCTCCAGAGATAAACACTCTTAACCGTTTTGTGGCTGCCTCCCCTCCTGTGCCTTCTGCTTTAGAGTCAGTCTCATATTACATATGCAATTTAATAGCCTGATGTTGTTTGGGTCCCCCCACCCCCTCTTTCATAAGCATTGAAATCATTCCAAAAGTATCTTTTAATGAGCTCGTAAGAGTAAATCACATGGCTGGGAACATGAGCTTGGAACCAGCAGACGAGCGTCTAATTGCAGCTTACCAGCTCTTTCCGCACGACAACAGGCAGGCTCCTTACCTTCGGCTTCTCTGTTTGTGCAATGACGCTGGAGGGAGAACGAAGTAGGCATCTTACAAAGTTGTTGCAAAGAGAAATGAAATATTTATTTATGTGCAGTCATTAGCTCAGTGTCTGGGACATAGCAAAGAGCTAAATGGTAGTTATCCTAATTGTGGCTAAGAGTCCATAGTCATTCCTCTATCCGTGAATATTTAGGGTGCTTCTGGTTTATTTTTAATTAGAGAATTCTGCTATGACATTTTTTAACTTACATCTTCTTTCCACACTTCAACTTTTCCCTCAGGGTTCATAAAGCCATTGGTCTCTGGTTTAAATATTTTACTAGTTCAGTTCTGGAGCCAGATACATCCCAGCTATATTACTTACTACCTATAGCCTCTCCGTGCTTCAGGTAGCCCTGCTCAAAAGATCATGACATAAGAATTAAATGAGAGAATAGATGCAAAACATTTGGCAGTTAACGTAAATATTAGCCAACATTGCTATCATGCATATTGCCCGTTACACCCTCGCTTGTTTATCTCTGACAGCTTTTAGCACTGGGCTGAACACCAGGAGACTTCCAATGAATACACAGTAAACTATACTGAGTGGCCAGATTATTATGATCTCTGAACGCATAATAACCTGGCCATTCAGTATATATATATATATATATATATATATGAATATATATGAGGCCCGCTGCATGAATTCGTGCATGGGTAGGGTCCGGCCAGCCTGGCCAGAGGGCGGGGACATGGGCAGTTGGTCGGCCTGCCTGCTTGTCGAACTCCTGGTCTAGGGGACAATTTTCATATTAGCCTTTTATTATATAGGATATACACTGAGTGGCCAGATTATTATGCATTCAGAGATCATAATAATCTGGCCACTCAGTGTAGGTAAACATCGGTTGCTAATCGTGTTCCTTGGGTACTCTGGAAGATGCTCTGCCTCCTCATTAGGAGGTTGCCCCAAGTTCAGTCCTCCCACCTCATGCTGTCCACATCATCCCCACGTCCTGGACCCATGTCTATGGCCAGTATCTTTGGGGAGATCTTCCCTTCTGGCCTTAGTTCAACCTATAACAGTATTCTCTTGTAACAGAGTTCCCTAGACCAGTGGTCGGCAAACTCCTTAGTCAACAGAGCCAAATATCAACAGTACAACGACTGAAATTCCTTTTGAGAGCCAAATTTTTAAACTTAAATTATATAGGTAGGTACATTGTTATTAACTTAATCAGTGTTCTCCTAAGCTGGCCTGTGCTGAAAACTCAAGGGGCCGAAGAGCCACATGTGGCTCTCGAGCCGCAGTTTGCCGACCACTGCCCTAGACAGTGTAAGACCTCTCCAGAGGCTTCTGGGATCCTAGGACAGAGTCCCTGTCTTCACATCGCCACCCAAAGGTTTGGGGACCCCTCCTGGGACTTGACCCACAGCCCTTATCTTACTTCCCACCCACTGTCCCATAGTCCTGAGAATATCAAACCGCTTTATTCTGGGCTGGAGGATTTAAGCACCTGTGATGTACAAGTCACTGGAGTAAATCCACCGCAAAGCCCAATGGGAAGGTCAGTTTGTGCCAAAGGGCAGGTTTGTATAAATAACCCAGAAGCCCAGCAATACAGGCACACCCTGCAGCTGGGGTGTTGGCAACACTCCATTAGCCACAGCTGCTAGGCTTGTGTGCAGCTACCAACCTCCCATGGAAATGAGCCATTTAGGAGTTAGTAAAATGATTCATGAGGATGACGAATTTCCATGTGCTGGGTACACGTAATGGATGACCATGAGGCTAGTTCTAGGATCTCTACTTCTTAGTAGGAATTCTCATATAACAAAGCTTGAAACTCGGGCCTTGAATTCTAGAGGTGATTTCCCATCTTGCTAAATGTTAATACATATCTTGATACTCCCAAAGGAACTATCAGGTCATTCATTCCACAAATGTTAAGTAAGCACCTACTACGTGCGAGGCACTGTGTCAGGACTAGTGGACCAGTCAGTGTCTACGGCACGAAAGGCAAGGATACACACCATAAATCCCCTATCCTTTGCCCAAGACAGTCTCTAGCCTTCTCAAGAGCCTGGACATGGTCTCAGAACCCATTTCAACACAGGGCTCTGGGCAGTCCTTTCAATCAAATGGACATGCCACAATAAACCTGTTTGCAATCTTGGAGCTAAAACGCTGCAGGTACTTACAGAATATGGGCACAGCAAGAAAAAGAAGTCTGAGCAGCCGTCAGCCGATTTGAAATGAAGTAGAGGAATTTTGAAAACAGCCTCATTGCTAGTTGGTATAACAATGTAGGCAAAGCCAAGGCCATTTTAGAAACCTTGGCAATGGTCTACGGCCATACCACCCTGAACGCGCCCGATCTCGTCTGATCTCGGAAGCTAAGCAGGGTCGGGCCTGGTTAGTACTTGGATGGGAGAAACCTTGGCAATGGGTCCACGCTAAGCACACAGATGCTGCTGGGTGACCTCGAACTCATCACTTAGCCTCCCTGAGCCCTGATTTTCTGATTTATAAAATGAAGATATAATTGCACTACCTACCTCATAGAGTAGTTATGACAAGTTAATGAGATGATGCAATGTAAAATATGTAACAACACCTGCCTACTAGTACGCAATGTGGGTTTTTTTTGTTAATGAAATACAGACTGTATTTAGGTTAAAAAAAAAAAAAAGAGAGAGAGAAGAAGTAAAATACATTTCTCTTCCAAACAATTCAGTAGAAGGACATTCTGGACATCTGCTCTGATAGAAAACGTTTGGGACCAAGTACTAGAACTTGAGTTATCTATTTCCATTGGACAATGTGTTCGTTGAACACCCCAGAGCTATCGATAGTTCCCAGGAACTGCCCCAGAATATAGGGCTGTGGTCATTGAGGCATGTGTCTCGGCTGGAATTCTGCCTCACCCCAACACGGACCCCATCAAACTGGCAAACGTAAACATGACAGCGTATCCTCTTGCCTTTGTCGGTGCCCAGAAGGCATATACTATTTGATCTATGAAAGGGGACCCCTACCAAACCATGGGGTAGTCCAACAGAATCGCATTTGGAAGTCGGGGCAATGCCAGATATACTGGTACTCCTGTTCTACCTCCTTTTGTTGGGATAATACTATTATGAATTTACAAACACAAGAGAAGTCTCCTCAAGACATTTAGGAAACACAGAGGAAGAAAAAGAAGAAAACAAAAGGCATTCATAATTCTATCACCTGTGGAAAGAATTATGGGTTGGGGGGAAGAGGTATCTACTCATCCAGACTTTCCCCTCTGCATTTTAAATTTACATGTGTTCTGATTAAATTCTCTTTCTCTCTCCCTCTCCTCCCCCTCCCCTGCTCCCAGTGTATCATTATCAGTTCAAGATCGAGTTCCTCAACCAAATTGAGAAGCCAGTGGAACCGACATTTACCATGTCACTCCTGGGAACAGAAAACGAAATAGAGAAAATCCCCATCACCCTGTGAGTACGAGGAGCTGCCCGTCTGTGGTGAGGGCAGCCTGGGTTTTCCCGCGGGGACTAGATGGACTCTGCACTTCTCAAGGGTCAGGCCAGATACAACCTACTTTCCTCAGCCCGTAGGACCACCCCGAACACCCCATTCGATGAGACGTCCACCCAAGCCCAACGCCCTGTCATCCCTCCCCAGCCTCTCCCAGGCCCACCGTTCGCTTACCATTGGCACTACCTGTGCCTGTGCCCGGCCCCCTGCCTGTGAGCTGAGCAGAGAGGGGACCAGAGGGGCCCAGTCCCAGCGCTCAGTGCAGGAAGCAGACTGGATAGGAAGGAGTGGTGAGGCCAGAGCAGGTGTCCACGGGAAGGTCCCGAGCACCTGCCTGTCCAATAACTTCTGAAAAAAGTAACCCAGAAATAAAACTGGTATCATTCAACGTGGCACCCGTTCCCCATCTGCCTGCACGGCCAGCCCTTCCCATCTGTCCTTCATCCTGCCTCGCACCTGCTCGCAGCACAAGTCTCACGCCTCCCTCAGAGGCTCCCGGCTTCCTTGGCCAGAAGAGGCCCGTGGGCTGCTTTTGCTCAGCATCTCCCCTCTCAGCGTGGGCTCCTTCTGGGAAGTGACACTGGCCCTTCACTCGCTCAAGGACGGTCCTCAGCTTCTGAAAATGGCCCCAGGCATTGATCTCTGATCTCACACAGCTTCAGTCACTGGGGAAGTCTATGGGTGCTCGCCCTGGAGGCTCCGCCCAGTGTAGCAGGTGGAGGCATCCCTGAAGGGTCCCAGGAGCATCCAGCAGGAAGGGCTAGCTGAGCAGCCGTGCAAGGAAGCTCTCCATCCGCTGTCTCCCTAAATCCCGTGTTACCCACGCATTACCCACTCCTCTCCCTGGGGGCGGGGCTTGTTCTAAAGAGTGGGAAGGGCATCTGGGTGCTGTTTGATGTCATGGAGATGAGTGAGCAAATGGAAACTGGTGATGCCTGTGGAGATGTGTGTAAATCTGCTCTAAATTGGTACATCTTTTTCACATATGGTTTTCTATTACTGTTGTGCTGCGTTGATTAAATAGACGTTTCTATTTATTTATACGGGGAGAAAGGACCCTTGCTGGGGAGAGGAGAGGGTGGTGCAGCTCTGTTGTGTCCATCAAACCAACAGAGAGCCGGCCTGGGCAGAGGCCATTGCCAAAGCCCCACTGTCCCATTGGGGGCAGTTTTCCCGATTTGTTAAGGTAAAAACTAGGAAGCCTGAGCTAAACGAAGTTAACGAGGTTTTCATTGTGGAACTCTCTGGGCCTTTAGAATATGCTGTCAGGGGAAACAGTATGGTTTTCCCCAATATTACTAGAAAATTCCTTTTTTTTTTTTTTTTTTTTATCCTATTGCTACCTCTAGTAATAACCTGCCCAACACAGGTTTGAGAAACACGGTAGGAATGACCATGCAAGTCACACAGGCGGACCGAACACACCCTGAATGTACCCACGCATCACTTTGCTGTTACAAATGCACTGACTGTGCCTCGTTTCCTTTGTATCTTCAAGGGGCGAAGGAATAACCAGTAACAAAACCTACTCCTTTCTTATCACTTTGGACTCGGATATCGGCAAGCTGCTCACAATCAAATTCAAGTGGGAAAACAGCGCCGTGTGGGCCAATGTCTGGAACACGGTCCAGACCATCATCCCGTGGGGCAGAGGGCCCCTCTACTCAGGCCTCATTCTAAAGAACATCCGAGTCAAAGCAGGAGAGACCCAGCAAAGGTGAGTGCTCCTTCAATTCCTGACACCTAATAAGCACTTTATAATGCCACTAGAGACCCGGTGCACGAATTCATGCATGGGTGGGGTCTAGCCGGCCCTGCCCTGCCACCTGGTCGAACTCCCAGTTGAACTCCCTTCTAAAGGACAATTTGCATATTAGCCTTTTATTATATGGGATACTTGCATTTATCCTATGAGGTGGGCATTATTATGTCCTAATAATGGAGGAGAAAAGTGAAATGTGCAGCCACAGGTGGAAGGACCGGGCTAGGCTCTTCCATTGCCTGGGTGCCATAGCTGGCTGCCTCTGGAGTCTGTGGACCACCTCAATAGCCCAACACTCCTCGAATCCCAGCCTGTGGATGCATCACGGGGTGATGTCAGTGCAGCTGGGCCACGGACCACACTTTGGGTAGCAAGGCCCCAGATTCGACATTTCTTTTTCCTTCCTTACTCGGAGGAATGCTCTTAACAGATCGTAATCTTAACATCTCGTTCTGTGCTGCTGTGTTTCGAATCTTAGAGTGCCAGAGAATCACGGGAAGCATATCAAATATGCATCATGTCCGGCCCCACACGCAGAGCTTTTGACGCGTGGTGGTCTGAGAAGGGAGCCGGGACACACGTTGTTCCTGAGACCTTTTGACGTGGGCCCGTGGTTGCCCTTAAGAAACCTGCTCTGTGTGACTTAGTTTCTCCCTTGGCCCCAAGGTCCTCGGGGACAATGAGGGGTTAGGGAGGGGATGGGGAAGAAAGGGTTGTCCGGCTGCTACTTCATCAGAGCAAAGAGATGCCCAACATGTTTTGCCATGGCAGCCATACTTGTTTGCAGCTGTGTAGGTCTCCACGAAAGGAGAATTCTGTCTTTCCAGATCTTTTCCTGTCTTCCCTCACCCCCACCCGCACCCCCCAGCCCCGTGTTCAGGACACTGGCCTCTCCTCCCACTTCTTTGTAGGGAAGTTCATTTTTCTCCTTGGCTTGTCCCCAGGAGGCACAGAAAACAGCAGGCTTCTCACTGCCAAACTACACACCAGGTTTCTCTGCCGGGAGTGGTGAGAGGAGGCGATGAGGAGGACCAGGGCGGATGTATGCCCCCTGAGGCCCTTCCACAGCCCCACTCTGAGGGCCTGTCTTCCTGGGATACAAGGTCCTGGCAATCACCAAGAGCACTCTCTGCAGTCTGCCACAGACTTCTCCACATAATCACTTTGGAAAATTAAACTGCTTCTCCTCTTCCACGCTAAGCTGTTCTCACCTGAGTTCTCGGCCCTTTACATCAGATCTGTCTTAGCACCGCCCCATCCACGTGCTCCCAGCTGGAGAGCGAACCCTCTGGGGCCGTGGCCGCTCCCCAGGACAGTCCCGTGACTTGGCCTGAAAGGTTGTAAGAAAGACACCACCTTCTCCGCTAGTGCTTAACTGCACGGCGCTCAAGAAGGAAAGGGGAGGCCCCGGCCGGGTAGCTCAGTTGGTTAGAGCATCATCCTGATATGCCAAGGTCGTGGGTTCAATTCTCGGTCAGGGCACATACAATGAGTGCATAGTAAGACAAAGCCATGTTTTTTCTCTCTCAGTCTCTCTGACCCCCTTCTCTTTCCCTCTAAACAGTAAATACATACATATATACACACATGCATACATACATATATATATATATATATATATATATATATATATATATATATACCCACAAGCAATACATACAAGAAGGAAAGAGGAGAGGGGAGGGGACGGCACTTACGGAGCTCCTGCAACAGGCGGGCCTGGAACGGATGCTCCAGGGCAGGCATCTCATGGAACCTTCCAACGACCCTCTGAAATGGGCAGCGTTGGCTGCACAGACCAGGAACCTTAGGCTCACAGAAGCTACACAGCTTGGGGACTTTGATAGTAACTGTCCGAGCCCAGGGCCCACTCAGGTTTGCCTGATTTATCGCCCCTTTCTTGCCCGTACGCTGTTCCCAGCAGGTCCTTCCTTCGTTACTCTTGGCCCACTAGTCTGACACTCCTAAGTGGAACCTAGCAGAATGCAGTGCGGACATAAATACACGCACACCAAACCCTTCTTCGAGGCACGTGCCGGCACGAGGGGAAGGGCTGTGGGGCCTGACGTTTCCCAGCAGAAAGCACAAAACGCCTGCTCCGTGCCCTCACAGTGCCGGATGTCACGGAGGGAGACCAAAAAATCTGTGTTTTGGCTGTTGGCATAAATGAAAACAAGATGTGTTAATTTTAGTAATAATGTGCTCCATCTCCGAGTTTCCCCAGCCTCAATGTCCGCAAGGGTCATCTGGGAATCCTGTTAAAATGCAGTTCTGCTTCAGTAGGTTGGCAGGGGGCGGGGGTCGGAAGGAGGGTATGAGTCTCTGCTTCTCTAACAAGTCCCTGGCGCAGCTCATGCTGCGGGTCACAGACCACACACTGATTAGCCGGGGTCTAGTCGGCATGGCCAGGGAAGTTTAAGAAGTAAGCTCAGGTTGGTGCTGCTGGGGCTGAGCTTTGGGGAGGCCAGGAGGTGTTCCCAGAGAGCCGCAGAGAGCGAGGCGCTAGGGGAGCAGGGTCTGGTGGCCCTCGCATCAGCCCGTCCTAAACTCTCATTGTGACCTCACTGCTTCCCACCTCCATGGAATAAACATGTAGGGTAATTCTGAGAACAACGGCACCTCTCTGAGGCTCGGTTCTTCAATAATAAATGGGAATTATATTATGTATCCCATGAGACTAATAACAATTACTAACATTTAATTACCTTCCACAAAGCAAAATCCCAGAGCCGGGATGCAAACGCTTAACCTCGGGCTCTCAATCTCCCTGCTGACGACAAGGCGGGGTCGGAGGGAGGCGGGAATTGATTAAGTCACCTGCTCTGTGTCTCCACGGCTGGTTCTTCTCTCCCACGGGCACAAAGTCAGGGACAAGAGGGCCTGCTGTGGGGTGAAGAGAAAGGACAGAAAATATGAGCCCTGCAGCACATAAAAAGCAATAGGCTAACTGTAATGAGATGTATGAGATATTCCATTTCCACAACAATCATATAATTCAAAACAAAAAGCAGTGAGGTTATCTCTGGCCAGCCATCAGTTGGCAGGAATTAGAAAAGATAACGTGCAGAGATGGTAAAGGTGTGGAGCAATGGGCTCTCTCCAGCTCATAGTGGGAGTGAAATTACAAAGCGTCTGCAGCCTCTGACTCAGCAACTGACGTGGTGAGCATCTGCCTTATGCCAAGCACTGCTGTGGGCAGTGAACAGAGGAGACAACGCCCTTGGTTTCATGGAGTTTACATAATCCATACCCATAATATATATAGCCGAGAATGTGACATGACAGAACTTGACTTCCAGGTGCCTGTCCTAGTGAAATACTTAAGTATGCCCACAGAGGCTATATATCTGCAAAGTGTTTGTTGCAGTACTACTTGGCAATAGTAAACCATTAGGGGAAATCTCAATATCTATCCATCAATAGAAAAATGGCTAAATGCATTGAGCTCTATATGTACAATGGAATCTGTGCAGCAGGTGGAAAGGAATGAAAGAGATGTATATGTACTAACTAGAGGCCCTGTGCATGAAATCCATGCACAGGGAGGGGGGTCCCCTCAGACAGCCTGCACCCTCTGCAATCTGGGACCACTCGGGGGATATTTGACTGCCAGTTTAGGCCCCATCCTGGGAATCGGGCCAAAACTGGCAGTTGAACAACTCTCTCACAATCCTGGGCTGCTAGCTCCTAATTGCTCACCTGTCTGCCTGCCTGGTTGCCCTTAACTGCACTCGCCCCCTCGCCCAGCTGACCTGATCACCACTCACTGCCTCTGCGTGCTGGCCTGGTCACCCCTAACTGCCCCTCGCTGCCAACCAGGTTGCCTTCAACTGCCCCTCCCTGCCGACCTGGTCGCTCCTGACTGCTCCCCCCAACTCCCCCATCCACCAACTCAGTCACCCCTTACTTCCCGCCCCCCTTGCTGGCCTGGTTGCCCCCAACTGCCCTCCCCCACTGACCTAGTCATCCCTCATTGCTTCCTCGCTAGCCTAATCACCTCCTTCTCCCCCCACCGCCCCACCCCACACAGCTTGCTTGTTCAGTCATTTTTTCATCCCTCACTAACCCCCCTGCTGGCCTTGTCGTAGACAGCCATCTTGTGAGATTGTGAGGGTTAATTTGCATGTTACCTCTTTATTATAATATATAAGATATGACTGGTCTTCAAGTGACTGGTGCCAAGGAAAAATTTCAGAAAAATACCTACAGAAAACCCTTATGTTTGCATATGAGCATCAGGATATGAGTAAATGTCCTGGGAAGACAGAAACCAAACCATGGAACGGGGAGGGAAGTGACATTGGTGATGGGTGATGGAGGAAAGGGTCTTTAATATTTGACTTCAGTCTTTACTTCTTGAATTTTTTCAAGAATGCATTTATAGACTACTCATATCACTCTTATTTCAGCTTCACTGAAGTGTATTTAACAAATAAAATTGTTAAGCTATTTAAAGTGTACATCATTGTGATTTGATATACAGGGTGGGTCAAAAGTGGGTTCGAACTGTGAACCCACAAAACAGTTTACTGTAGCCAGCTTACTGTTTATTTGTATTATAACTGTAAACCTTCTTTTGCCCCAGGCTGTACAAATACACTGTGAAAGGATTGCCCTATCTAGTTAATTAACACATTTGTCACCTCACATATTTATCATATATTCATTGTTTTGAGAATATGGAAGTTTACTCTGTTAGCAAATTTCATTGATACCATTTCGTGTTGTCACCCTCTACAGTCACTATGTTTCACATTAGGTCATCAGACCTTATTCTCTCTGTAGCTGAAAGTTTATGCCCTTTTATCAGCTGCCCGCTCCCTAGTCTCCTTCTCCCAGCCCTGGGAACCACTTTTCTCTACTTTTTCTATAAATTTCATTTTTAATTTTTTTTTTAGATTTTGCATGTAAGTGATACCATGTAGTACTCTGTTTCCTCGAAAATAAGACAGTGTTTTATATTATTTTTTGCTCCCAAAGATGCGCTAGATCTTATTTTCAGGGGATGTCTTATTTTTCCATGAAGAAGAATACGGTACATGTTTATTGTTAAATGAAAATAAAGGAAATTTATTACCTGTAAACGATATGGTAGTATGGTAGTTGTCAACACAAACCAGACAAACTGTGAATCCTACATTATCAAGAATTTACTCATTTATTCAATGACAATCATGTCATCATCTTCTGGAACATCATCATAACAATCCAATTCCTGAATTTCCTGGTGAATTTCTTGTGACTCCATTTCTTTCAGAATCAGTGGACCAAATCTCTCATGTTTAGCCTAGGGAGGGCCTTATTTTCGGGGGATGCCTTATATCAGAAGGAAACCTGTAAGTAGGTCTTATTTTCGGAGGATGTCTTATTTTCGGGGAAACACGGTATTTGTCTAGCTTATATACTATTTTAATGTTAAAAGTTTATGAGTCAAGATTTGACCTCAGATGCAATTCAAAGAAAAGGAAGCCATGAACTGGAATTCTCTGTGACCACTGGAGCTGGTAAAACAAAATAGCATCTCAGGCCAACCTATAGGCCAAAGCAGACTAGCTGCTAGCTGGTCTCCAAAAGAGGCCCAAAATATTAGTGATATCCTCTTTGGCTGGGCAACATCTGCTCCAATGAGAGGAAGGGCAGGGCTTACATGACAGCCAGGCAGGGACTGGGACAGTGGCCTCATGCCCAGGGACCTTTGAGACCAGCATTGACAAATTGGAGCGGGTCCAAAGAAGGAAGGCTGGAGGGAAGACTGTCTGAGCAGAACAGTTGAAGGAGCTGCGAATGTTTGCCCAGGAGTCAGGACAATGTCATGAAAGGAACAGTAGTTATGCTCAAATCTTTGATGAGCGGATATCAGGGAGAACAAAGGAGGACTGCCCCTAGAACTTTGCGCTTTTATAGACCTGAAATCAGCTCAGAGCAGAGCCTGATACAGATTGGGTCAGTGACTTAGGTTTTGCTTTTCTCTGAAGTTATGAAAATAATAGTTATGAAAATAATAATGTGCAAAATCCATGCACATTAAAAGGGAATTAATTAGAGGAAATATTTTAATATTGCTATTTGCCCTTTCTCTATAATAGAAGTGTCAGAGTTGAAAAAAAAAATAGTAAAATGTATATGAAAATCTTCCTACTATTAGAATCTGGGGCATGGGGTGGGACCCAAAGACAAGTCCCTCCCACCCACACATGCCTAGAAATCATGTAAGACTCAGACTCAGCCAGCCTCACTCCCATTGGGCGAGATCCAGACCTGGCCAGCCTCACCCCCAACAAGCCCCGCTGGGCGGGGAATGCAACCTCAGGTCCCCTTGTCTGGTGCCAGATGAGGAGTGCAGCCTCAGGTCCCCTGGCACACCCTCAGGACTCCCGGCCCAGCTCTGGGGCAGGAGGAATGACCTGAGGTCCCCCGACCCAGCGCTGGGAGGCACGGGGCTGGGAGGCATGTCTTGAGGTCCCCTGTCAAGCCCCGCCAGATGGGGGGCATGGCCTCAGGTCCCCCACCCTGGCCTGGCATCACATAGCCTCAGGTTTCTGCTGATCACTCATTATGGCTTGTTATGGGAACCTATCTCCACTGTGGGCATAGCCATCTTGTGACAGCATGAGGGTAGATTTGCATATTACCTCTTTATTATATAGGATTTGCAAACATAAGAAACACAGCAAGTTTAAAAAAAAACACAGCAAGTGTTATATCAATTGAGTATTTGACAAAAAAATGAAACACTTCAATAAGCTCCGTCTAAAACTTAATGCTGCCTTTGCTTTATGTTTTCTATTCAGAATGATATTTTGCTCAGAAAACATAGAAGACCTACAACTTCACCCAACCCAGGAGAAAACCTTTGTGAGATGTGACGTAAACTCTAAAAAAAGGAAGCGAAAGAACAGATGAGTTTTAATGAAGACCCAGTGTAAAGAATAAATAATCCTATTCCTTATCTGGAATGGTTGCCTTATTTGGAAACCAGTTATATAAAATAATCTTGCATAAAGTTTAGACTTAAAGGGAGAGTACATTTCACTATTATAAACTAAGCTTTTAATAACTGTATTATGTAACTTTATTCAAATATTAATGTAACCAAATATTTTCCAATTTTGTCTCTGATTAAATGGTAATAAATGCAAATAAGTACAAATGTAAAACCCATTTTAGATCTGTTGTTCTAATTTAAAATGTCTTTTCCAATTAAGTCAAATTTTTCATAATTTTTTGCTAGTTTATTCTGATCAGTTTTTGAACCATGCTGGAGAGGTACTTCTTTATTACATAACTGGTGCTTCAATAAATGAAAATAATTACCAATTGTCCCAGTTTTCCTCTTTACAATGCTCACAACAGAAGGCAATGGAGCCCAGGGGTGTGGCTCAGTTGGTTGAGCATTACTCCATGCACCTGGAAGTTGCTGGTTGATTCCTGGTCAGGGCACATGTCCATGTTGTGGGCTTGGCCCCCAGGGATGTCACAAGGGAGGCAGCCGATTGATGTTTCTCTCCTCTTCCTATCTCTCCCTCTCTCTTAAAAAAAAAAAAAAAATCAATAAGAACATAAATGGAGCTCTAGCCGGTTTGAGTCAGCCCAGGGACTGAAGGGTCCGGATCCAATTCTGGTCAAGAGCACGAACCTCGGTTGCAGGCCCATTGCCCTTGTCGGGGTCATGCGGGAGGCAACCAATCAATGTGTCTCTGTCCTATCAGTGTTTGCTGGAGGCTAAGGACAGTAGTTAGCATAATAAATGTGAGTTCATCAGAAGGCTGATGGACATTTTCAGCAGGTCTAAAAATCTGGGTATTATTACCTGCTGCTGAACAGCTGTAGGCAATTCCCCTAAGTGGATAATCTTTTACTGTTTACCAAACTTTACCTTTGATATGTGTGTTTGCTTTGCTAAAGGGAATATGTGTGAATAAAAAGCCGTGGGTCGGACATTCACGAGCCCATTCCACTACAAAAGGGTTTCCCTCTGGCTCCTCCAAATACCTTCCAATTTTATATTTCTTGTCTAGTATATCCATTTATGTCGCAGCTCCTTCTCCAAATTCCTGAACCCTTGCTGAAAAAAATCTGTGACTGATGTTTTGTCTCTCCCTTTTCCTTCCACTCCCTCTAAAAATCAATGGGAAAAAATATTCTTGTGTGAGGATTAAAAAATAATAATAATAATAAATAAAAAGGTAATGGAAAACTTGGAATATCTCAAAGAGGTATCAAACCTCCAACTGTCCAATAAATGAAATAATGATGTTTGATCAGCAAATTCCATCACAGAACATATGAAGGAAATACCAGGTACGGTAATCACTTGGGTGTGTGTTTTAAGTAATTCGGAGAGAAGGAGCACGCAATGCACATTTCACCACCTGACCTGACATCTGCTGGGCTCTACCCAGCTCCTAGTTCACAAACTCTTTGCCAGGGCCAGATAAACCGGGGCTCGTGAGCATAAGAGTCCTGAAGACATGTCTGCCTGTAACTCAGTGTGAGATTATCTTGCACGATTCCCCTTTATTTTCCCTGTAAAGACCCACTAAGCCAAGGGGTATGGGAGAAGGGAGAAGAAAAACTTCTGCGTCCATGTTGGATTGTGTCCTGAACGCTGCTGTTGCCTGCAAAAGTATCTGATCACACTTTTAGGTAAAGTGTGTGTGTGTCTAGAAAAAAAATATAGATATTAAAATGAACAATATTTCCCATTATGTCTAAAATACTAGATTTACAATAAAATCATGTTTGCATTGGATTAGCATGTTTTACCATTAAATATCCAGAACAAATTTGAAATACAGTATCCCACCCCCCCCCCCACCCTCATCCCCTTAAACTCAGTTTCACTTTTCCAGTTTCAGTTACCCTTGGTCAACTACGCTCCAAAAATATTAAATGGAAAATTCCAGAAATAAACAATTTACAAGTTTTAAATCGTGAGCTGTTCTGAGGAACATGATTAAGTCTTGAATCGTCCTGCTCCATCCTGTATGGGATGTGAATTTGTCCAGCGTCTCCATGCTGTCTACTCTCGCCACCCATTAGTCACTTAGCAGCTGTCTCAGACATCAGATCCACTCTCAGACATCTCAGAGCTTGTAACCCTTATTTTTCTTAATAATAATGGCCCCAAAGCACAAGGGTAGTGAAGCTGACAATTCAGATATGCCAAAGGGAAGCTGTAAATGCTTTGCCTAAGTGAAAAGGTTTATATGTATAGGAAAAAACACAGCATATATAAGGTTTGGTGTTATCCATGGTATTATCCATGAAATCGTCACAACCAGAAACAGCCCCAATATCCATAAATACAATGCATAAGTGAACCGTGGCATGTGCTTACTAACGGAATATTAAACAGCAGTGGAAAAGATGAGCCAACGCTATACACATGGGACTGAGTCTGGAGGGAGGCCAGGAGGCATTCAGGGTACAAGATTTAAAGAAGCCCTCAGGGGCTTGCGCACTTGCACAAAGACAAAAAATATGCATAGTATGCTACAAACAAAACTAAACTATAGCATTAGGGATGGATAATTAGGTGGTAAAGTTCTAAGTAAAAGCAATAGATTCACTAGCACAACAGTGACACCGTGGACCCAAGAAGGAGGCAGTGCGCACCAGAGTTCCAGGTGCCCGGAAGGCTGTATTTCTCACTCTAGGTGGTGCTTGCACAGGTGTTCATGTTTGTAACCAAGTTTCAACTGGGTCTATCCATTTATTGCGCTCATTTTTTGCATGAAGGTCACATTCACAATATAAAAAACAAACAAACAAGAAAATAAAGGGCATGCCGAAACTGGTTTGGCTCAGTGAATAGAGCTTCAGTCTGCAAACTGAAAAGTCCCGGGTTCGATTCCAATCAAGGGCATGTACTCAGAGCTTTCTTGTTTTCACCAGCCACAGAATCATAGGCCACAGGTTACTCTGCAGCTTGCTTTTATTTTTTATTTTTCAGTTAATGATGTATCATTACCATCCCTATAACTCAGTAGAGATACATATTTTTTCTAATCCTATATAATAAAAGGCTAAAATGCAAATAGACCGAATGGTGGAACAACCGAACAACCAGTCGCTGACATGTGCTGACCACCAGGGGGCATGTGCAGAGCATTATAGGCATTGGCTGCAGTAGCATGGTGGAGCAGGTGAGTGGGGGTGCCAGACCAAGGTTGTCATCAGTTGCTGTCATCAGGGCAAGCCTCTGGTGGTTATTAAAAATTCTTTGCTCTCGCATATTGTGATCCTGCCTGGCACTCACATCTACTGCCAGCACCAGCCCCACATCACATCCACTGCTAGTGCCCAGCACCAGTCTCGATCACTCGGCATCATCAGCAAGTGTGAAGCGGTGGCTGCCGGCCCTGATCACCTTGATGGTTTCTCCACCTTTCTCTGCTCCTGAGGGGCAATCAGGGCAGCAGCTCGCACCTGCTGCTGGCACTGGCCCCAATTTCTCCCCAATGTCAGCAGATGAGAGTGGGGCCAGTGCCAACAGCACAGGGGAATGGTGGAGGCAGGAATGGGGCTGCTGGCAAACAGGGGACCAGGGGCCACAGTGAGAGGGGCTGGGCAGGGGTGCAGAGGATGGGCCAAGACCTTCCCCTGTGCCCACCACAGCCTTGCAGCCCACAGTTCCATTCAAGGTGCACAAATTCATGCACTGGGCCCCTAGTTTCTATATAAGTAGAATTATACATGCTAGAGGGGTTAATGCAATATTTTTTTTCTGCTCTTCTTGATTGACCAAGTGCCCTGTCCCCTGACCCATGTTAACACCTAAAGCTGTAATTAAAATTTTTGTATGGTCATATATCCTAACATAGAAGCCCATTCTCATACACAGGGGAGCTGTCACTGTTTTTATAGAAATGTAATTCTATTATATATTATACATTCTTTTCAGCACATTGATTTTTTTAATCAAAAGTACTTCCCCAAATCTTCTAGCTCAAATGGTTTATCTCATTATTTTTAATGATTGTGTAATATTCTACAATGCAGAGGTGTCTTAATTTATTCAATTGGTCTCATAATGATGTGCCTTTACTCTGCTTCCAGATTTTTGCGCCCCCTGAAAAATTCTGCCTGTAACATCCTTATACATATATACCATATATGTCTAGTAATAGGAAGTGTTTCTAGCAGTGGCATTGCTAGGTCAAATATTTATAAACTAGAGGCCCAGTGCACTGGAATTTGTGAAATTTGTGCACGGGAAGAGTGTCCCTCAGCCCAGCCTGTACCTTCTCCAATCTGGGACCCCTCAGGGGATGTCTGACTGCTGGTTTAGGCCCAATTCTATACCGGCAATCAGACATCCCTCTCACAAGATGGGACTGATGGCTCCTAACCACTCACCTGCATGCCTGCATGCCTAATTGTCCCTGTTTCTGCCTGCCAGCCTGATCACCCCCTAACTGCTCCCCTGCTGGCCTGATTGACACCTAACTGCTCCCCTGCCAGTCGAATTGCCCCAACTGCCCTCCCCTGCTGACCCAATGGTCCCAACTGCTCTCCCCTGCCAGCCCAATTGCCCTGAACTGCCCTCCCCTGCCAGCCTGGTCACCCTCCAACTGCCCTCCCCTGCAGGCCTGGTCCCCACCCAGCTGTCCTCCCCTGCCAGTCATCTTGTGACAACATGAGGGCAGCCATCTTGTGATGGTGTGGGGGTGGCCATCTTGTGATGGCGTGGGGGCAATCATATTGTGATGATGTGCGGGTGCAAGGGCCACCTTGGCTTTTATTAATATAGATATTCATTTTTTAAAAATTAGTAGATGTTGGCATATTGCTTTCCTAAAACACTGCAACTGTTTGCAGTTTTCTCCCCACCTTCTGGGCAGAAATAGTTATTGCTCATTTTAAGCTTTGTCAGGTTGGTGAGGAGTGTAAGTGATGAC